CAACCATAATAATACTTAAAGGGTGGTAGTCGTCGCGTCACGCATGCACGAGATATATGGGTCTCATATAAACAAAGATGGTAACTTTGACTGTAGCGCAGATCAACGAGTGCAAACTGATACGTTACCAGGCTTTAATTAGGTATATATTTAGGTAATTGGAAAGTATCGAAGGAGTCACCGGCGGTAATTAGTGTAATTCGCGGCCAGGTCAATCCTCATACTTGTGATTTCCATAAGAATAGCGCATTGGATTGTGGGAAAATCAATTTTTATCAACACAAATGTCGCACATGCGTAGCACAACGACCACTGCCCTTTAAATTAGAACCATAAAAATCTTTTTCGAATTCATGTAATATGTGAGTTTCCTGCCTAGAAAACAAATATACCGGTACTTGAATGAGTGAAGAAATCATCCAACACAGTTCTTACATGATTTATATAATCACACTTTTACTTGTTATTGCCACTGTACATGGTGAAGAATTAGAAGGGCAATGAATGCTGTCAATTTAAATTGTCTATATCAAAGTAATTCACATTCCAATTGAAAGAATATAGTGCATCATTTCATTACATTGTGAAAAAGATAGTAGTGGGATTACGTCCAGGTCTATTATTAAAATTGAGTTTTGTCAAGCGAGCCTTGGGGATTACTGTACAAGATGAAAATTTACAGGGGACCCTCGATGAAATGTCAAATACGTCGTCTTTTCAAGAGGCCAAGCATTTCTCTGGCAGTCGGCCTCTCACTGATGTTTTTATGTGTCATTTCCTATAATAGTGTAGGTTGTGTGCCATCATTTCCTACGGTTCCTACACATGTCCGAATCCAAGGAAAGGGCAAATAAATGATCCTTAAGTTTTCACATCACATTTTATGCGTAATTAGCCTTGAGTCACTTTTTCCATGTTACTGTGTTGAATAGAACAATTCAATAAGATTAGGTTATAATTAAACAAACAAATTTTGGAAATCACAGCTATTGTCGCTTTGACATATTTGAAATAAATATAACATATAAAAAATTGAAGTAGGTAATCATAGTCCTTGATAATTAGTCAATATAACAACTTGAAAAGATTTCAGACACAAAGTATCTTTAATAAGATATAATCAGAGATAAGTTGTATCTATCATTGAAAACGGTGCATTGTCCGATATATCTGGTTATATTGAATTATTTCTAAAGATATGATTACCCACTAACCTTTTCTATATATTATATTAATTCGTCCTAGCAGCTTTCACCAATGTTTATCGCTATGAATGTTTCGAGATTAATGGTATAAATTACTCACCATTGATGTTTTCTCATTTTTATAGAATGAATTCCATCCTAAACTCGCGATCATTTTATGTACTACCTCCCCACAATTGCCCTTTGCCTATCCATAGTACACTAATTTAGCAATAAGATTCTCTGGATAAAATTATGTGTTATATTTTTAATCCAGTGAATCATTTTGGTTTTTTGAGGTTATTCTCGTATGGAGAAAAGGATTAGTAATACATAAAATTGTATTGTATGTTCTTTATACTCTCAATAACAGGAATCAATGTTTCTAGTACACATTACAAAAAAATGCAGACGAGATTTTATTTCACACAATTTTGATTTCATTTCTATTTTTGCTTCTCTTTCTATGGTAACATATTTTATATCTAGAGAATATTTATATATTGTTATAGATTGGCATTAATCATATTATTGTTATAGTGAGTATTTAATGTAATATATCCCTCCAAACTCCAACATATTAACGTTGTTAAATTGTATCAACTTGTGAACATTTTCCAGTCTGTAAACAGATCCAAAATGAACACTTATGTGGGCTTAATTATTTTGTGAAAGGCAAGGAAAATTTTAGCCATCACATGT